GTCTGCCTGTGAAATGAGTCCTTAGATCTCTGGACACAGGTTGACCAGGACTGTCAAGAGAGGAAGTAGGAAAACAGGCAGGGCCTCGGCCAGGAAGGTTTGGCAGTTTGAGGAAGAATCTCAACTTCATCCCACAGATGACGAAGCCCCTAGAAGGTGTCAGTGGAGAAGGACGGGGTCAGGCTTGCGTCTAAGTGAGGTGACCCTGGACGCTTCCTGGAGGACAGCCTGCATTGTCCAAACAAGGAGCCAGGGAGAATAGGTGGGGCTGCTGCCGATGACGGGGAGAGAGGGAGCTGAAGTAGGACATGGCGTGGGTGTGGGATGTGGAGGTGATCCCAGGAAGGAGTTGCTATGCTCCCTCCTTTCACCTGGTGCAAAGGGAAGAAGCAGGTGGAAGCTGCCTCCCAATGTCACAGTCTTGGGTGTTTGTCCCACCTGCCAAACAGAGAAACCTCCCTCTGGGCCTCACCTGCAGCAGCAGCCAGGTGGCTGTTGAGGGCAATGTTTCGCTGGCACATGGCCAGGAGATCTGCACCGACATCTGGAATGACAGAAGGGCAAGCCGTGAAGCACTGGTTCTTACCACTCTTCTCCTACACTTCTACCTAGAGAGAGTGTTACCGACAGCACAACTGCAGAAATCACAGAAACATTTCTCCTGTGCGTCTTCCTGACAAATTAAATATGTCTGCCTTAAGACTCTTTTCATTGATTTTTGCCCTACATAAAAGATTCTCATCCTGATGGGGAGAGACTCTCTGTGTACTCCAGAGGGAAGGGTGAGTGCTCCCAACATTTCCCAGGTATATAAAACAGGCCCGGCACATTCCACAGAATGTTCATCCCTTCACCTTCATAGCAACTCCAGGAGCTGGTATTGAGGCAGGAGTTCAAGACAAGCCTGGGAAAGACCCCATTCTACCAAAAAGAAAAAATTAGCTGGGAATGGTGGCACATGCCTGTGGTCCCAGCTATTTGGGAGACTAAAGGCAGGAGGATTTCTCAAACATAGGAATTTGGGGTTAAGTGAGCTATGATTAGGCCACAGCACTCTAGCCTGGGAGATCAGAGAAGAGGCTGGGCCAGGTGGCTCACACCTGGAATCCTAGCACTCTGGGAGGTTGGGGAGGGAGGATCACTTAAGCTCATCTTAAGCTCAGGAGTTTGAGACCAGTCCGAGCAAAGGTGAGACCCCATCTCCATTAAACACAGCAAAATTAGCCAGGCACCGTGGTGGGCGCCTGTAGTCTCAGCTACTCAGGAGGCTGAGGCAGGAGGATCCTGGAGCCCAGGAGTGTGAAGTTGCTGTGAGCTGTGATCACACCACCACACTGCACTCTACCAAGGGTAACAGAGCAAGACTATGTTTCACAAAAAGTCTTTAAAAATAATTCAGAAAATATTAGAGGATTAAAAAAATATGGACAAAGTATATGAGCACCATGTTCACAGAAAAGGATATGAAAAGGCCACATAAGCAGATTTTCATTGCAGTAAGAGGCTCCACTCAGGCATTAACAAAA